GAAGCAAACGACCCCTAAGTTTTTTTGGAGACCTGCTGCCGAAAGGAAAAGGGGCGGGGGTTAGGGAGTGGGGAGGCCGCTCGGCCCTCTCGTCCCCTTTGATTAATATTTTTTTAATTACTGTTATAATAATAATATTATAAACATTATAATTGTTCTTAATCCGCGATTGTAACTCTTAGTACGTAACCGTCAATCCAACCGATCACGTATTAAAGTCGAACCTAACTCTAAAATACCGGGTGCTACTTTTCCTCCACCCTTACAAAAATTTTGTCCCCGAAATTTGGAACTGGAAAGGTAATTACTTGGTCTAAAACTTTTGGTGTTTGACCAAAACTTCTCAAGCTAGGATATAACATTCCCCTCCCCCCTTAATAAAATTTCGACCTCGAAATTTTGGTCCGAACTAATTAAAAAGGTTTGTACCGAGTACTAAAACTGAAAGTGCGTCTTTCTAAGAAAACAACCAACTAGCGGTCTATGCTCAAAGCAAATACTCCTCCACAGTCTCCCCATTTCTTCACATGATCACATCAAGGTACTTGCTCGTCCCTTCCATCGTCACCACGATCTCCCTCTATCCCTCGCATGGCAAAAACCCTCGGCTGTCCTCCTGCTGGAGGCCCCTGATCTCTATCCCGATCGGTGCGGTCGAAGCACCCAGTGAGTTCTCCCTGTCTCTGGAAAGAGTGGTTTGGCTAGACACCAAACCGTGGTCCTGCGTGAACCCTCGCTCCACAACCCCGGACAGACTGCTCGGACCGAGCCATCCCTTGTCCGCCTCTCCAGGGGCATGCTCTAGCGAAATGCCCAGGCTCCTTACAGTTATAACAGACCTTGGGGGAATGCCTACACTCCCCTGAGTGATCCCGCCCACATTGGTTGCAGAGACCTCTGTTGCTGAAAGTTTGACCAGGCCGGACCGAGCTGGTTTGACTCTGAGTACCCCCAAAGCTAACGGTACCGCTCGGCCTCCTTTTGTACTAACTGGGCTGCCCGGACCACTCTGGCATGCTATTTTCCTTTCTCTTGCTTCCCTCTCGTTGTATCCCTTCATCATGCACAGCTGTGTGAGCCCTCTCTATCCGAAGAGCCGCCTGATAAATCTCCTCACGACTATTCCATGCCAGCATGTTGAACTTCTTCTTAAGGGCAGGCTTCAGACTCTCCAAATAGTGGGCACGTTGAGATGCCGCATCCTGGAACTGGGGTCCCCCATAGGGCAGCAGCTTCTCAAACCTGGAGGTGTACTCTGCAACACCCTCCTCTCCTTCATTGCCCCATCCTTGCTTGATCAGCAAAAATTCCATATTTTTGCTCAGTCGATAGGCCTCTGGTACATAGTGATCCCGGAACACCCGCACCAACTCTGGCCAAGTGATAGCTTGTGGGTCTTCCTAACTGGCTGGAAGGTTGCACCACCAATTGTATGCTGAATCCTGGAACATGGATACTGTCAGTAGCACCCGATCCTCATCATTTGCCCTCATTTCAGTCAATGTGCGCGAGACATTCGCCAGCCATTTCTCTACTTCAGTAGCATCCTTCGAGCGGTCCCCATCAAAATCAACCACTCCTCGCCTCCGGAAAGCCTCATAATTCGGGGGTTGCCTAACTACCGCGTGGTTAACATTGACGTTACTTGCTCTGCAATTAAGTAGTACCCTTATTAGAACCACATTAATGTCTTATCATGCTTGAGTATACTGGGGACACTATAAACCTTTTCAAATCGGTTGGCCAACCATTTTTCTTGAAAGTTCCTTTTTGTTTTTTCCTTTAAAACTAAACTTTTGAAAACCCAGATCATCACACCAGTATTCCTTGGAGACCAAGAAACAGAGGAATGTCGGCTCTGATACCAAAATGACATGACCCGATCCTTTTTGAAAACCAAACCACAACTCATACCACAAACCAGTTACTCCGGAGCAACCCAAAACGGTTTACAAGTCAAAACCAAAAATCAACAACCACAATGTTGAAGATTTTCAAGTGAAATGCCCTAAACACTTGGGCGACCTCAATCCAGAGCAACAAAACATAAAACACAATCCTTGAGTTTCCCAGTATACTCATTAAGACATGAAACTAAAGACAAACATATGGGAGGTCCCATCTCCTTACCCAGATCCAGTTGACATCTTCTGTTTTGCTTAACCTCCTCTTGATGAATACGTCCTCTTCCCCTCTCTGCACCTGGTGAGTGAGAAGGGGTCAGTTTTGCGTTAGACGACCTTTCTCTCAGTTTGGTCTCTCCTTCTTCTCCTTTTCATCTCTCTATTTATACTCAGATCGCACTTAGTTCGCGGTCCCAGTTCACGGCTGTGAACATCAAGCCACGCCCATGAACTCTGATCAAAACGTGTCGCTTAACTGATGGGGTTCACGGTCCATGGCCCCAGTTCACGGTCTTAGCGACCGTGAACTTCCTCGTCTTCAATAACCTCGAAAACCCCTCTGGACGCTTCGCAGTTCATAGTTTGTGGTTCCAGTTCATTGGTTCTGGCGACCATGAACTTTAATGTTTGACCGTGAACTGCGGCTGATTACTCCTCTTTGCCTGGTCTTTGCTCCTTTGCTTCCAACTTTTGACTTTGGGGTTGGTTTCACCTGTTAGACTCTGAAACACATTGAAACACAAGAAACCTAGCGTAAAATCACCCTTTTTGGAGTATAATTGCCACAAGCGTGAAACAGAAATGGGGATAAAAAGTGTACATTTAGGCCAGAATCAGCCACTACATGGATTGTTTTAGTATCCTCTAGGTTGTTGAGAAATTACAATCTAGTATGTTGAACAAGTATAGAGGGAATGATCAACCATTTATACCTCAATTAGTATCAATGCTTGATTGTAAGAACATCTATGCTATAGACCATCGATTATGACTCAAGATTCCCACACTTAATCATTTGATAACCTTACTTTTCTGTTCTTCTTTCATTAGGTGATGGCATGAAGCAAAAGCACACATTAGCTAGTTCCAATTGCTTGTGGCAAAAGCTCGAGTAGGATGGCCTTTGTGGAAGGGATATAGCGATGCTATCGATTAGCTATTGATGCATGATATGATTGAGCCTCTTAGTATGTATCATAATGCTCGAGTATAACTTCTTGTTCAATAACTTTCCTTTACCTTAATGCATCTATAACTTGAAAACCCCCTGAACAATTTTATCTTTCCTTGCTTTGCTTGTTAGTCGAATGAAAACCCCTAAAGAAGCTTGTCTATTTTGTGTTGAGCATAGATGGTATGGTGTGATTAGTTATGCATTACAAGACATTGTGGCATACGACCCTGTGATAACCTAGGGCTTTTATCACTTACATGTTTATTACGCATCAACACTTAAGTTTAGTTGAATAATTTAATTGCATGGGGTGTTGAATTGCATGTGTTAATTTTATGTGATGATTTAAGGGCTTAACTTAGAGTAGATGATCATTCATCTAGGTTCCGTAGGGACACACTCAATTTATGCCTTTTTAGTGGTTACATGTTCATTGATACATTAGGATTGCGTGCTTATAGGTTAAATCCATTTAAAGAGGATAGACCTAACCCTAAACTTAAAAGACCAATTACATGATGATATAGTTGGTGGGTGTAGCTACGGGGGCTAGGAGACATGATCATTGTACTAGTTTCTAATTTAGTGATTCTCGCACCGTAATTTTCCATAGATGGTCTGTATTTTTCTATTACAATGCATGACATATCATGTTAGGGGGAGGGAACCAACCCCCATATAGCATTTCTATTTTACGCATACTTGTGTAGTAGTTAGTTGAGTGTTTAATCCCAAAACAAAATAAAAGATCGACTAGATAACGACATTGATTACCACTTTGCTACAACACCTAACTAGGTTATGCTTGACCTAGTTAGGGTAGTAGGATAGTCGGCGTCTAGCTTTATAGCTCACCACATTAAGGTATGACCAATCCAAAATATGATTATGAGTCTCTGGAGTTGGACAGTTTAATCTTCATGATTTTGAGAATTTTGTGAGTTTTGTCTTACATTAGTAGTATTGAAGGGGATAATCTGAAGTTTATCTTCTTGTTCTAAAATTTCTTCAGGAAAGTCATTGAACATAACGTGGCTTGATTCTTCTACTTTGTGAGTTCGTTCATTAAAGACCTTATAGGCTGTGCTTTATTGAAATAACATAAGAAAATCGTAGGTTCTAGCTTGGGATCAAATTTACTTGGGTGATCTGTGAGAATAAATATACTGTTGTTGGAGTTCTTCAATTGTTATTAGAGCAGGTCTCTGGCGAGTAAGCGAGCGCAAAATGGATGCTTCCAATTCCTCAATCATGTTCCATAGCATCTGCCACCAGGACTCTAACTCGAAGGCCAATCTGCAACATGACTGCCAAAATAGGATAGGAATAGTTACACCTTATTAAAGGATGCATGGAGGATTTTTTTCATGTGTATGACATGAAGGTTTGGATCCACATTGAGAAGGGTACGGAAAAGTGATAGAAACTCGCATTTCTATTTAATTAGCAATTGAACTTATTTGATAGTTTATGAATGTTTATGGATTTATTGGCTATTTGGGAAGTAGATTGGGGGTTTAATAAGTTGGGGTAGTTATCGATAATTAGGAATTGTTATTTAAACTATTTTCTACGTTGAATGAGATTAGGGAATAATTAAAACCTAAACCTAATAGCACTTCTCCTCTTCCTCCTTCATTTTCCCTCTGCCGAACCCTCAACCCTCCTTCTTCTCCTCGGCAGCCTCGGCAGCCGCTTTCCCCCTTCCCTCTTCTTCTTCCCTTCGAGCCAAACCCCTTTCCTTCCCCTTCTCATTACTTCTCCATCTACAGCAGCCATCCTAGGCCATTTCCCATTTCAACTCTCCCTTTTATCATCATCAGGTAGAACCCGGAGAATCGGGTTTCTATCATCTGGTATCAGAGCTCAGGTTCTGACTATTGAGTTTATCGCAACTCTACACCGGGACGGACAGCAGAGCTATGGCGATCACTAAATCCCCTGCGGAGAAGTCTGATGCTGGATCCAAAGCGGCCCAGACCAGGGTCCCCTCGCCGCAAGCAGACAATCGGCGTGAAGGTGTTGTGGTGGACGAGACTGACGATCTCCAAGCCTCGATGCGCACCATCATGGCGATGCAATTGAGGACTGACTCCAACATGGAGGAGGTGAGAGCTGAGGTTGAAGAGGCCAAGCGAGATCGTGACATGATCATGCAGATCCTCGCCGGCATGCAGGAGGAGCAGAGGCGGTTGGCGGCGGCGTTGGGGCTTGGAGGAGGCGATCGGTGCGAGGAGGCGGCGGCCAAGGCGAGCCAGACAGCGGCGGTGAGCCAGCACGCGGGCGCCGGAGGAGGGAAGCTGACGGCGGCCTCGGCGGCTAGCGCGGCGGCGGCTGTCCCGGCTGCTGTCGGCGCGGGGGCGGGGCCCGGAGGAGAGGCGACGGCGGCCACCCTAGGGCAGGCGGGAAATGATCGGGTGGGCCCAGGGACCGATGGGCCTCGAAGCGGACCCGGGCTGCTACCGACTCCGACGACTGAGGAGATCGCGGCACTACGTGGGAAGACGAAGATGCCGGGCTACGACAATGTGGTCCAAAACCCCTGTTTCAAACCAATGGGCCCGAGCCCAATGGAGGGTGAGATGGGTCGGGGACAGCGGGCCGGAGACGGGCCCGAGCGGGCAGGCGGGGCAAAGCGGGCCATGGTGAACCGACCGGGTCCAGAGAGCCGGACCGGGCTGGGCCGACGGCGGTCGGACCGGGCCTGGGTGGATCGAGGCTGGTCGGACCGTAGTTGGGTGGACCGACAGCGGCCGAACCAGGGCCAGGTGGACCACCAATGGCCAAACCGGGGTGGGCCGATTTGCAAGCGAACTTCACCGGTTCGGGCTGACTCCGGATGGCCGACCAGGGGCTGAATGGCGCGCACAGCTGGAGGGTTCGAGTGCCTACGGACCCCCGTTAGCAGCAGCAGGAGACCCACGGGGTCAGCTGGGTGGGTACGAAGACTACCCAGGCGGGAATGGACCGAGCTGGAGTGCAGGGGACGACGCGCGCGGGCCCCCGGGTTATTATAGGGGCTACCCCAGTGCGGGCAGGTATGGTTGCTATGATCGCTATGATGATGAGTATGGATTGGTGTTTAGGGCCAAGCCCCCGACCATTGAGTTTCCGAAATTCAATGGCCAGTAGGATGCGGGTTTGTGGTTGTATGCAGCTGACAGGTGGTTTAAAAATCACCCAACCCGGGAGGAACGGAAGGCTCAACTAGCGTCCTTCTATCTGGAGGGAGACGCGCTGCATTGGTGGGAATGGTTAGAGCGATCCTATGCTACCGCGCAGACACTGATTACTTGGCCGATATTCCAGGAGGAGCTTCGCTACCAGTTCGGCAAATCTGAAGGGTGGACGCCGGAGCAGTTAGCCAAGCTCAGGCAGACCGGCTCGGTAACTGATTATCGGGCAGATTTCCTTAAACTGGGAAACCAGTGTAAGGGAGTTCCAGAGGAGACCCTGGTGGGCCTGTGCATGGCAGGTCTTAAACTAGAGATTGCTGCTGCAGTCAAGATTTTTGAGCCAGATACCTTGCGGGCTGCTTTTCATCTTGCAGGTCATAAAGAAGAGGAGCTGGCAAGTTGGAGGAACGTCATAGGGCGTTACCCCAAGACTGGAGGAGGAGGCCATGCCGGTGCGGGGAGTAGCGGGGGTGGCAGCACAGCTATCACTGCTAGCGGCGGGGCTGGCGCGACACCAGGAGCAGTGGCTCGGGCAACACGGCTTGGGCCGAGGGCTCCACCGAAGGGCTTCGTCAGGCTAAGTTCAGCGGAGATAGATCAGAAGAGAAGGGAAGGCAAATGCTTCAACTGCGACGAGCGGTTCACCATCGGGCACAAGTGCGCGAAGCCGGAGTTAATGATGTTGGTGGGAAGATGGGAGGATGAGGCTGAGGAAGATGCAGCGGACGGCAGGGGCGAAGGGCAGGTGGAGGACTAACAACCTTGAGGACAAGGTTGATTCGAAGAAGGCGGGGATGATAGAAACCCGCATTTCTATTTAATTAGTAATTGAACTTATTTGATAGTTTATGAATGTTTATGGATTTATTGGCTATTTGGGAAGTAGATTGGGGGTTTAATAAGTTGGGGTAGTTATCAGTAATTAGGAATTGTTATTTAAACTATTTTCTACGTTGAATGAGATCAGGGAATAATTAAAACCTAAACCTAATAGCACTTCTCCTCTTCCTCCTTCCTTTTCCCTATGTCGAACCCTCAACCCTCCTTCTTCTCCTCGGCAGCCTCGGCAGTCGCTTTCCCCCTTCCCTCTTCTTCTTCCCTTCGAGCCAAACCCCTTTCCTTCCCCTTCTCATTACTTCTCCACCTACAGCAGCCATCCTAGGCCATTTCTCATTTCAACTCTCCCTTTTATCATCATCAGGTAGAACCCGGAGAATCGGGTTTCTATCAAAAAGGTTGACAATGAATTCGATGCATGGATAGAAGAAATCTCAAGAAGTTGCAAACCAATGTCAAAGCCAATCACATCCTCCAATTTGCTCTCTAAAGAGAGGAATTCTGGAAGATGTCTATGTGCATATCAAAAAAGGAAAGGTTGGACACCCTAGGAAACATATGAAGTTACATCTTGGGTGAAGGATACTCTAATTAGACTGATAGTCAAGGATTACGAGGTGTTTAAAATGAATGAAATTGAGAAAATTGTTGAAATTTATGAAATGTTTACTAATACAGTTAGTGGACTAAGGACCTTAGGGAAAACTATAGAAACACTGATCTAGTCAATAAAATACAAAGGTGAATGCCATTTGAGACCTAGTTTTCCTAGACTTTTTCTTATTGGTTAATCTAACCTCAAGTTGAATGATTTTAGGTGGAATTCAAAACCTTTTACAATGTTATAACTAAAATAAACTTATCAATCTTCCTCAGACGCTGAAGGCAAAAAGTGATGTCACACGCTAAAATCCCTCTAGCAATTTTAGAAAACCAACTCATTCACCTATTGCTAATCACAAAGTTTCTTGCAGCTCTTGATTTCGTCCACAATTCTGCACTCTCAAGTCTCAAGAATGCCTTGAGATAAGCCTCCAAATCAACCCAAAATTGATTATAGTCATATCAAGTTCTGAAATAAGCCTCAAAGCTCACAACCAGGTATAGACATTATTAAAAATAGAAAAGGTAAGATTAATATGAATTGATTATAGTCATATCAAGTTCTGAAATAAGCCTCAAAGCTCACAACCAGGCATAGAAATTATTAAAAAGAGAAAAGGTAAGGAAAATATGATGATTGTGACACTTAATTGCCTAAGAAATTAGACAAAATATGACCGAGTTATGTGTTATCACTTATCAATAAGGTTATGCCAAGGTGGTATGGAAATAATACCAAATGGTTGTAGGCTTGTAGCAATATACTAATAGCGATACAATGGTGGTTAATATAATAATGGAAGCATGGTGGAAGACTTTGTGATTGAACCTGTGTTAGGGATTTTATCGATCGGATTGTGGAATTGGGGATTTAGAGTTTAAAGAACATAATTAGGGATTTGAGAATAGAAAGATAGATAATCGGCTTAGACCTTTGGAGGGTTGAGATCGAGAACTGGGAGGATAGAGAGATTAGGGTTTAGAAGACTTTTCTTAATCTTTTTCTTTTCTGCTATAAATAAAACACAATACATATTTATAACGAAAGACTGAAAAAATCTAATGAACTATCCTAATATGACTCGATTACTTAATAATAATAACCCTCATAATAATAATAATATTTATAGCCGTAAAATATGACTCGATTTCTTAATAATAATAACCCTCATACTAATAATATTTATAGAAACCGTAGGTAATAATAACCCTCATAATAATAATATTTATAGAAACCGTAGGTTTCTATCACGTTGGTACATAGGGATGGCAAAAATATTCGTAACCGTAGATATCCGCCCGAATCCGGTCTAATCGGGTAGGGTAAAACCCGAACACGAAGGATAGTTAGTGGGTACAGGTAAAACCCGAACCCGAATATTGCGGGTAGTGGGTGGGCATGAGTTTCTAACTATCCAACCCGAACCCGCCCGATTATACGCATGCATATGTATTTTGTCTAGAAATAATTATTATTTTTCTCTAACATATTTTATATTTAGCATATAAATATAATATTTTCATGAAATTGTGTTGTTTTAGTTAATTTTCTTCATTCTAGTGAACTATTGTCGGACTTTTTCTTTTACGTAATGTGAGAATACGTGTGAATGTTAACATATTGGTTGGAGTTATGAAAAGAAATTATTATCCATGGATAACCGTGGATACCCGAAACCCGAACGGGTATGGGCATGGTTTTAATTTTCTACCCGTTTCACATGTGGGTATGGGTATGGGTAAAACCCGAACTACTTTGGGTAGGGTAACGGATATGCACTATTCGACCCCGACCAGACCCATTGCCATCCCTATTGGTACACGCTAGCATAAGAGGTCCGAAAATTTATTTATCTTAATTTTTTTATGTTTTTTTTTTTTTTTTTTTTTTTGAAAGACTCAGATTACGATCTATGACAGATCACCCAACAAACAACAGATAAACCACAATTCAAGTCTCACAAATAACTGAATAAGCCATGGGGGTCGGAGGATGGCTCCATTTATACCACTTACGAAACTATGATAGTTTCTGGAATGAAAAAGAAATAGCCAAACAAAGATAGGATGATAAATAATGAGCCCCCTTAGTCCTAAGAAAGTTTTATATACGAAAGTTACTCAGCTTGAAGTACCATTCTCTTTCCTCACCCAATGCCTGGCCTGTGTTTGTGCGCTTTGTGGATTCCGGTTCCTCCTGTTAGGGTTCCGACGCTTCGCAAAGCCATCAGCTCGGCCTGAAGTATTACGAGAAAAATTCCCAGAGAGAGGTGGAGCTTCTCTTGGTTCTTGATCTATGGTTTCTTCATTTGATGAAGGAGTAAGCGCTGCCAGAGGCCGTGGAAGAAACATGCCAGGCAAAACCACTATACTCTTTTTCGGTTCTATCAGGCCGTTGCATTCTTCTTGTAATTTTAGTATAGCATCAAATTTCTCTCTTCTAGTATGCTCCGACTGAGAGCCGAACACCTTAAGATCATCATCATCATTATCATCAACATCATCATCATCCTTAGGTCCATTGCTGTTCGAACTCTGATTTATCAATAAAGAAAACAGTGGAGTCTCATCACTTACGTTAGCAATGCACTAGGGTGGCTTTCTTATACCGCTAGTACGAAGGGGCCAAAATAAAGGTACTGAAAACGACCAATAACAATAATCGAAAGCCAATACCAGTCGAGAGGAATGAGTTCCAACCAAGTCAAGAACATGTTCCAAATCCTTGGCATGAAAACTCTTCCGACAAACTGGGCATTTCCCCATGCTGTCATCTGTTCCTGCAGAGTTGCCAGTTCAGAGGCATATTAATGCCCCATGCTTATGTAATATGATAAACAAGTCCACTACACATGCGAAAGGAACAAATGATAGAGAGAACTTTTCACAACAAATTTTGGGCAATGCAATAATAGCAACTTAGGAAAACACTGCTATGGCTCCGCAGCCACCGCTCATAGCAAAACTAAAAACAAAATCCAATATAACATGTGCAACAATATAATTTCCTCACAAAATCCCATCATTATACATACCCATCTTATTTCCTGGTCTGATTCGCTGCGGCGTAGTGGCAGATGATGCACTGGTGTGCTCCTTCTGCTTTTGAAGCCAAGCCCACCATCTTATAATGCATTCACTGGGATAATAATGTACAAGGTAAAAGGATTAGATAGCAGAAACAAAAGGAACAACTTAGACTGTTAGAATGAAGTATAAGAAACTATTACCTGTGAAAGCAATGAAAACAAGACATCAACTTCATAAATGACAAGGTTTCTCCCTCTAATTTTTCTAGAACCAAAGGATATAAACACAAAGGACATTCACCGTCAGGGTGATTCATGATCGAAAGCTTCTCCACTGCTGCCTGAAATTTTACTGAAAAATGTTCAGATTATGTTTTATACATAGAGAAGAGAGCGCTCATTCATGTGATAGCAATATACTGAAATTACGGTTAACTACGATAACAGTTTACAGCTGAAGAAGACTGAGTTATCTCTCTCCATTAGTTTCTTTCAGAACGCACGGCTTAAGTTTCAAACATATGCCAACTTTGTGCAGCACCAACTATCTATGCCACCCAGCATAGCTAAACTACTAAATTGTAAAATAGTATTAGTAGTACCATAAAAGGCACAAGTGTCGAAAGAACAGAGACAATATAATGACTAATGTGATAGGTCTCTGTAAACACAAGAAGAAACTAGTGTACATATCTAGGGAAATCAAGTTCAGGTTCTACAGGGTGCAGCCTTCTCAATCAGGTGTCACATAAGCATATATGCGATGGAGATTACCTCGCAAAGTGCTACAAGCATTAAGCATGAGTTGAGCTCCTGCGCTTTGTCCTTTATACTTGTTAACAGTTCCTTTTGCCTTCGTTCATCAAGGCCCTTGGACTCGATGATGCTGATACCGGGTGGTTCTTCTGGATACTTCACAAGGAAATCAACAAGATTTAGTAGTGAGTTGGATTATTTTGCAGGTCAAAGCACAGTTTCCTAGAAATCCAAATCATGCAGCAGACTACCTGGAGGCCTGCTCTTATGCTGATCAATGCTTCCACAAACTTCAACATGAGACAATATCACAAGATGGCAACTTTAGCGCAGTCGTAGATAAATAAATTCACGATAACAAGTGCCCAGAGCATGCACCAATAAAACTGAACAATCTTGAATAGCAAATCATCAACAATTGGCACCATTAATCATCTTTAAATACAATCAGTTGTGTTAAAGCACTTGTCTGAAACCAATGGCAACATTAAGAAAACCAAAAATTTGGGCCCTTGCTTCCAAGGGAGTTACCCAGATATATCCTTTAACTGGATTTACTACCCAACTCGAGGAAACTAAAGCTTGGGACTGTAATTACTCGACTGAATTGGGAGACGAATTTCTGCTAGTTACATCTAAGAATTGAAAATATGAGCTCCAGCCAAAAATCAGAGCCGAATTCTCTCAACTACCCACCAGGGCGTGACAGTATCTCGTATTGCGAGGCGTTAAAAGGTCATACACCTGCAAAGATATAAGCTGCGGTAAATAATCGATTCAAAGGGTTAGGAACCTGTTGTGAAGAGATATCGGCGGTTCTGGGCTTCATGTGGAGGTGGAGATGGGGAGGGAAAGAATCAAGGACGGCGCAATCATCTCCGTAAACCGCTTGCACCGCCTCTACTTCTAGCAGAATTTCTTCCTCATCAGCCATACTTTCCAGCCTTCTACGCCGCCGAAGGGACAGGTAAAGAACGACAGAAAGAGGCGGCCGGGATATTGGAAATTTGCAGTAGCTACGAACGAAAGGTGACCCGTAGGCCGTGGCTCAGACTCCCTAGGTGTTGATTCGGCGACGTACAACAAAAATATGGATGCAGATCTAACAAGTCACAGACAACTCCTTTTTCTATATATTTTTTTTTAACTTTTGGATGAAACTTTTTAGAAGCTCTAATTAGGGATGGCAACAAAATCCGAACCCACAGGTACCCACCTGACACGCTACGACACAACACCTAACAATGGCCAAGTGTAACCAATGAAAGGGACTGCAGTATAGTGGCACAAGTAATAAATATCGAATCCACGGATCTCTAGAGTTACTATTACTCAGCTTCAGTTCATTATCTAGCAAACTAGATTAAGGATTGATTTACTAAACTACTCTACTAACTACTCTATTAATTACAAGTTGGGAACTCACTTAGGTATGATTCCCCCTATCTCCTCAATTAGGTCCAAGTTGCAATTACCTTTGGTTGATCTACTGTTGATTAAACTGCGAAAGATCCTAAATTAGCTTGGAATCTCTTAAGCTGACCAAGCCCTCTTAGACAGAATACCCGACAGGCGACTAGCCTTCACCGGGATAGACTGCTAAGGCGATTCACACAGATCTCCACTACTGGAATGAATTCCAGTACAAAGTAGTGAATTGATTGACTCTCGCACAACCAATTCACCACTATCAATCAAGGAAGCTCTCTTAACCTAATCAGATTCTATCTATCATAGGTTAAACGAGAAATCAAGAGAAGATGATCAGGCTTCAATTGACTCAATAAATAATGCCTCAATCGATTATAATCAAACAATATAGCATCCAAAACTTCATACAAGAAAGATCCTAACACATGGAACTAGGATTCCTCAAAACCTAAGTGAAGGGAAGTTACTCCATAGAGAAGAGAGAGACTGCAGAAATCTGATCTAGATCTTCAATCTCCATCTGCAAGCTTGATTCCCGAGCTCCAATGGCGAAGAAATCCTCCAAAATAGCTCCAAGAATGTTCCCAAGTCGCTCTCTCTCTCTCTCTAGGGTTCGTCCCTTGAGTGTTTGGGAACCAAAACCCAGCTCTCTCCTTTCCTTTTGCTGAAAATTGGGTTTAAACCAGAAATTCCCGATCACACGGCCAGGCCACACGGCCGTGTGGCATACCCAGATGCCCGTGTGAGATACAAAACTCCGCGTTTCCAATAATTGCACTTCAGGCTACCTACACGGCCAGGGACACACGGTCGTGTGGCTTACCCAGTCTGCCCGTGTGAAGCCTCGCATAATCCCACACGGCCACATTGCTCCTTCACACGGCCGTGTAGGTTTTATTTGTGCCCGTGTGGCTTCCCCAGCGACTCGCCACGCGTCCGATCTTCATCCAATCGACCCCGAACTCGCTCCCAAACCTTCATTCACTTACTAGGACCTGAAATATCACAAACAAGCACAACCTAGAGTGAAATCGGCCTAAAACACGAGAATCAACCCCTCAAACGGCTCCAGAATAGGGGTAAAAACATGTGCAATTAACGGTTTATCAAACTCCCCCATACTTAACCGTTTGTTTGTCCCCAAGCAAACCAAGTCAGACACAAGGCAAGCTCACATATTTTAGTCATACCAACATTGGGGACAAATCATATAGGCACAGAACACGTGAATCATACTGGCTTTCAAACATCAACACACGAACAACTTCAATAGCAACCTGGACAACCACCACAGAAGACATTCGAGTGCAGCAAAGTCGAGTAAAGGAGAAGTCTCCCTTCTGTTCATCAACCAACCTAGACTTGACTCAACCACTTACTCAAAACAGTCAACTCATGCATAAACCTCAAGACATCAGAATCAAGACCGAGCCATCTAGGTCCTCACCGGGGTAAAGAGTGTAAAGAACAAGGAAATGAATCGCTCACTCTCGACTAGTGGGGTCAGGACAATTTGATGCGAAAAATGCGCATACTTATTCTCTCAATTCCTAACATCTCTTCACCATGACGGCAGCCTCTAAATGTTAGAGTTCACATAAATGGTTGTCATCACTAACTAATCCGGAGGTCTTAGACACAGGTTCAAGTGACTGACTAGGGTCTTGGACATGGGGAAAAGGCCTTTTAGTTGGTGGAAGTATTCATAGCACAAGGTTCTACATTTCCAAACCCAACAAACCCACAGTCAATCAAACCAGTACTTTCTTTCTGCTATTCTGCATTACTCAAATTCTTCAGAGCACAAGAGCGAAGGAGGTCACATAAATGCTAGTATTTCTAAGCCAGACTGCTAAGAAACACCACTTAATGGGCACTATTCAGATTTTTGGTGGTGGCTCTCTTTAGCTTTCATTTTTTTCTTTGTTTTTCTTTCATTTTTTCCATTTGTTAAGAGAACCACCACCTCTGCACATATTTCAAACATATGCCCAACTTTTAAGCACTACCTCCAACCCTCATTATATTTAGCAGAAACAGCAGAGAACATGTAAAAACCACTCTGTGGAACCTCTACAAGATGCAAAAGGGTGATTTTTCATTGTAGACTGAAAGAAAGGATAACACACGGCTCAAAGGGGCTGACTAGAGGATATGACACACCAGGACAATCAATTTGGTCGTGGGCTAATCCTATGCCTCCATCATCTTAGCTAATGACAACGTGAATGCTACACATCATGGAAGAGGGATCTATCGCACAAGAAAGAAACGAGCAGGCTCAAATCTCACATGGCTACCTATATGCTCTATCTCTCATTCTGATCCTTGAACTAGATGCATAAGAGACTGTCAAAGACAAGTAATAAATCCAAGTCACAGTTGGTAAGCAAACAGTTCAAAGAGTGAACCCTACACAATTCCACTACACGTCTCAGTCATCATTATAGGTTGACCTAGTCACCATCCAGTTGTCATGCATTAATCTGAAAACCATTCAATTCACCAATCCAAACACAGTGCCAATATGATCAAACAGCCGTACTTGGAGCCCTCAAATCTCGAGATTTGGACAGCGGACTAGGCTCCAAGCACACAAACAGCCAAACATTCACCCGCATACATAATCAAACACCCCCCCACACTTAAGCACGACATTGTCCTCAATGGAGGAAAGATAAGGAGGGTAGAACGAAGTTACCAGATCAAGGGTGAATGATGATGGACGGGTCAGGCGGTGCATTCCAGAAAGAGAGAGTAATCAGAACATAAACACCACAAAAAATCTCACAAAGGTTGAGTTATTGACTCTAAAATCAAATAACAAAACTGACTCAACCGAGGAGAAATAGAGAAAGAAATGCAAACCGACTGGTTGGGTTGCCTCCCAACAAGCGCTTCTTTCACGTCGTGAGCCGGACGATGGCTCCTAAGTTTCGGTCCATGCTAGAACCTCCTTAAAGTTGAGGTTCTCGTCAATGAGGTGGAGTCGTAAGTCACGAGCATGTGGTATGACTGGTGATGGAAGCTCGTGCACTTGATGCATATGAAGTCTCCATCATCGAGACCTCTTCTTCTCTTCTCTCGTTCCATTGCCCCAAACCAGATATGACAGCATCGATTGGCCACCATCGCGTCCACCAAGAGGGACCAATGTCGATGTGGCCTTGGTCTGGCAAAGAGACACTGCAAATGGGTCCTTGCTAAGCAGTTCCTCGAAGTTTGGTGGGGATATTACTTGTATTATAGGGCCGGTGCAAGCCTCTTCCGCCTCAATTTCATCCTCAGCCTGGACACCACTCGCTTCTTCAACCCCCCTTCCTTCTTCAAAATGTGGTCTCTCTCCTCGGAAAAGATCAAGAACTACCTCTTCTTTGCTTTCTTCCTCATCCTCCACAACTTCTTTCCTCACCCTTTCTCTCTCTTCTTCTTCCATAACTGATTGGAGAGCAAGTCTCCATGCAAGGTTCTCAATAAGTTCATCTTGCATCTCCTCGCTCAGGCCCAGCATGTCAGAGCAGAAATAGGGAAAGTTGTGATCTACCACCAGAGGATACACTTGATCATGATTATCATGTGAGCTTTTCTTGACAACTTCTGTATGCTCCTCAACATCCTCATGATTGCCTTCTTCTTCCTCCACCTCTACTTGTATGGCAGCATAAAGGTTGTCTTGAGAAAACTGTGAACAGGCTTTCTCAATGACCTCTATGTGCTCCTTTATGCTCCGAAGTGCATCCTCTGTTTCATGGGGAAATGAGAAGTAGGTTTGGGCAATGGCCTGGATATGAGGATCCATCTCGGGAAAGGATCTCTCAGGTACTCGAGCAATCTGCTCCACAAGAAGCCTCAAGTGATAGTTTGGATCCGGCTGTGGAGTGTAGCATGGCTCTGCCGGATCGTCCGTGAAGGCTGTGGCAAACCCAAGATCTGATGGTCCTTCTTGTTGTGGGAGGAATTCTTCTTGATAAGGAGATTGTTCTTGAAATACCCAGGGGTCTGATTGTTCTTCGTAGTAGGGGGGTTGGTACTGAAACCCGACTCCATAGTCTTCTCCTCCTTGGTTACTCCAGGGAGTCTCGGGGTAATACCACTCGAATGGTGGTGGATACCCCCAATGGTTGGAGAAGCCATGAGGGTCCATGATTCAGATCTGCACCAACAAAAACAAAAAACACCCAAGTGAAAAGCAAGGGCGGAAAACAAAAGAAAAACGCTAAAGTAACAAACTCCCGCCTTTCCTAATAATCTAGAAAGTCCCCGGCAACGGCGCCAAAAACTTGACACGCTACGACACAACACCTAACAATGGCCAAGTGTAACCAATGAAAGGGACTGCAGTATAGTGGCACAAGAAATAAATATCGAATCCACGGGTCTCAAGAGTTACTATTACTCAGCTTCAGTTCATTATCTAGCAAACTAGATTAAGGATTGATTTACTAAACTACTCTACTAACTACTCTACTAATTACAAGTTGGGAACTCACTTAGGTATGATCCCCCCTAGCTCCTCAATTAGGTCCAAGTTGCAATTACCTTTGGTTGATCTACTGTTGATTAAACTGCGGAAGATCCTAAATTAGGTTGGAATCTCTTAAGCTGACCAAGCCCTCTAAGACAGTATACCCGGCAGGCGACTAGCCTTCACCGGGATAGACTGCTAAGGCGATTCACACAGATCTCCACTACTGGAATGAATTCCAGTACAAAGCAGTGAATTGATTGACTCTCGCACAACCAATTCACCACTATCAATCAAGGAAGCTCTCTTAACCTAATCAGATTCTATCTATCATAGGTTAAAGCAGAAATCAAGAGAAGATGATCAGGCTTCAATTGACTCAATAAATAATGCCTCAATCGATTATAATCAAACAATATAGCATCCAAAACTTCATACAAGAAAGATCCTAACACATGGAACTAGGGTTCCTAAAAACCTAAGTGAAGGGAAGTTACTCCATAGAGAAGAGAGAGACTGCAGAAATCTGATCTAGATCTTCAATCTCCATCTCCAAGCTTGATTCCCGAGCTCCAATGGCAAAGAAATCCTCCAAAATAGCTCCAATAATGTTCCCAAGTCGCTCTCTCTCTCTAGGGTTCGTCCCTTGGGTGTTTGGGAACCAAAACCCAGCTCTCTCCTTTCCTTCTACTGAAAATCGGGATTTAACCAGAAATTCCCGATCACACGACCAGGCCACACGGCCGTGTGGCATACCCAGATGCCCGTGTGAGATACAAAACGCCGCGTTTCCAATAATTGCACTTCAGGCTACCTACACGGCCAGGGACACACGGCCGTGTGGCTCACCCAGTCTGCCCGTGTGAAGCCTCACATAATCCCACACGGCCACATTGCTCCTTCACACGGCCGTGTGGGTTTTATTTGTGCCCGTGTGGCTTCCTCTGCGACTCACCACGCGTCCGATCTTCGTCCAATCGACCCCGAACTCGCTCCAAAATCTTCATTCACTTACTAGGACCTGAAATATCACAAACAAGCACAACCTAGCGTGAAATCAGCCTAAAACACGAGAATCAACACCTCAAACGGCTCTAGAATAGGGGTAAAAACATGTGCAATTAACGGTTTATCACCACCCGACCCAACCCGTCAACGCGGGTAAAATCCGTGTTCAGTGGCGGATCCAGAACACAGAAGAGCATTGGGCCGCATTTCATTAGAAAATTAGAACCGTAAAAAAAATATAATGATAATAGTTTTTTTGCAATCTAAACTGTACATTACTGTATTTTAATTTAGGGAATGCATCAAGGAGTCTACATCCATACCAATAGTATACACTGTTTCAAATAAAATACTTGAGCAATCGGCGAGAAAATCATCACTCATTTTGTTGAGTAAATCCGTTCTCGCATGTTTCATTGTTGAAAAGGTTCTCTTCGTAGTAGCTGTTGAAACGAGCAGCATCAACACTAGATAAATCAATCTACTAATCAATTTGCATTGTGTGTCCATCCCTGCACACTAGCTGCTCTAGTAAATTTTTAAGGGAACAAACCTCATATTTCTTTTAGTCTTTTACGTTTTAAAATTTTTTGAATTTTAGGTTTCTTTATTTTTTTTAGATGCATAATCTTTGGGGCTAAAATTTATAGGCTAAATTTAGAGTAGTGATTTGAATATGTTCAACTTGATAATTTTTCTAGTTAAACCCAATCATATCATAAAATAACACTGGGTCGAATGTCTAAAATCGAAAATTTCATAAGTACTATACTAACTACGGATCCAGAGGAGGGCTGGGCCGGGGCCCGGGGTGGCCACCCCCTCAATCCGCCAGTGTCCGTGTTGACGGGTTTTGGGCCGGGTTTGGGTTTAAACCCGTTCACTTTTCACCGGGTTGGGTTGAGTTTGGGTTTAGGTAAAACCGACCCATGAGTACCCGCCCACACCCATATAATAATTTTCTTGGTATATTTAATATTCTAAACAACTAATCTTATTTATGTTTGTGGAGACATGTCTAATTTTTTCTTTCTAATTGTGTAGAATGAAGTTGATGTTATCGAGTGGAGAGCGAAGAAACTTAATTGAAAGGAAGAAGCTTTCAATTAATCATGTTATTTATGGATAATTTGTGATTTGCTTCAATTTTCTTGAGTTTTCTAGATTGGTGTTGAACAATTTGTATAGTTAATTTGTTATTTGCTTGTATTTTCTAGAATGGTGTTTTATATATGGATAATTTGTATTGAGATATAGATATTTGACTTTAATTTTGGTAGAAACTTGTTATAGTAAATTTTTTACGACAAAAACCCGTGGGTACCCATGAACCCGCGAATACCCAGCGGGTTGAGTTGGGTTTGAGTTTTTCATACCCAGTGGGTTTTACCCGGGTTTTTTTCACGGATAAACCCACGGGTTTGGGTTTGGGTTTGGAAAAACCCGACCCAACCCGACCCATTGCCATCCCTAGCTCTAATCTAAACAAGTTTGTCTTTTTCCCAAACTAAAACTAGTATCTTAGTCCCTCAGATCTGCCAAGAGAGAGACATCAGAAATGGCGTTGACGGTGATTGGCGACGAGACGACTCCTTTCTTAGGCTTCCCCGGGGCCTCATCCGTCTCATCTTCTCCTATAATTCTCTAAACCTTTTGAGTCCCGATTTCGATTCTATTACTATAGATCTACGATGAGGAATCTGGGATTTGCGGTTTGCTATGTAATTTCTTGTTGCATGCGTGGATCTACCTATGGAATGGCGAAGAGCGGAGAGCTGGGGACAGAGTGGCGTCGATGGGGTTGATGAGGCGAAAGCCGCTGTCAACAGATCGATTCTGGAAGGAGAACCTGCATTGCTCTTTCTCTCGCCATCGTGCGCTCGAACAGTTTGCTGCCTACGCCATCGTGCGTCGTCGACCATGCCTTTCCCTCCATCCATCCAATTCTTTTCCAGTGGATTCTGCCTTTTTTGCATGGGTTTCAAAAGAGTTGTGATATGGATTCCTACAGTGAGTAGTTCCGGCTGGCGGCGAGTCCTTTCGGCGACAACAAGAATTTTGGGCGGCGGTTCAATTTTCTTTGCGGTTTACATTCCCACGCTGCTATTCGTGGCCAGGCATGTTTCCCACCTCCCAAAGTCCCAATTGTTTTACTTATTTATTTATTTTTTAATTTTAATCAAAATATTTATTCACCTAGAAGAGAAGACCCCTCTTTTTGTAGCCTCAAACTGCATAATTTTATGCCTTTGCATATTTATGTTATTTTCTTTCTACATCATAGATAATGTATTGGTGTTTAACTCAATGTTCATTAGCTAGGTTATTTCGTTGAATTGTATTGCTAGGGGAGCAAGTGGAAGTAAGGAAGATTGGTATTGTGTTTTGTTGAGTTGTGTAGTCTAACCTATGAATTTGTGGGAAGTAGCATTGGTTTCATTTGTTTCACAGGTTACCGGACCTTGGTTTGCAAGTATGAATAATGTCAATCATGATCACGGTGGCGCGGTGTTTGAAGAAGTGCAATTGCTCAAGACCTCTTTTGCATTTGTATCTTTTGTGTTTGGTTTTCGTAGTACTAACAGGGCTGCCCATCACGTGGCACAAACGGCCCTTGCATCGGTAGCAACCCATATGGTTGACTACCGCTTTTTCATTTCCAGCGCATTGTAATACTCTATCTATTACAATCTATCTATGACAACAAAAAATCTAACAAGTCACAGGTTTATACCGTTGATCAGCCTACAATCTTCTTATTCCTTATGTAGGTTTAACAAAATATATACAAATGTGAAAATCATTAATTATGGCGGTTATACCGGTTAAGAGTGAGTACCTGAATGGTTAATTGGCAGTTTGACATCAATCCGCCCGTAAATAACTCGAATTGCAGTGATTGGGTTATTGATGTGGGTGGATTGTGAATTAATAAATCTCCTACCCGAACTTATGTGAGTTGGTGGTGGGTGGATTGCAGGTCACCCTAATGAATAGCACCATATTTTCACATGACAAATAATTGTTTCATGTTTATACCATAGTTAGTAAAATACGGTACGGGTAAGTTACGTATAAAATAAATACGGGTAGTTTACTTCGTCTCCAAACCAATGATATATGTTTAATAGTACGTCAATAATTATAAAGGGTTAGACTGGTGTACTCCATGAGTATACTATACTCCAGGTACTCCTAGTGAGATATATCTATCTAGACCACGAATTAAATCGAGTTTGGGGTATGATACTATACCCTAACCTTTCGTGGATAAACCCCAGGCACCGATTCTCTAAACTCAAAGCCGAAGTTCAATTTAATCAAAAATATTAATTGACCGTTGAGATTGGTCGGGGCTCTAAAAAGGAGATATAATGGTCATTTCACATGGAGTACGGTATACTTATATATAATTATTTATTTTACCAATAAATTCATATTAAATAATAGTTATGTTAGCAATTTAATTCATTAAATACGAATATTAAACGTGTTCGACCCAATATTTGGACAAGTATGGGCTCAAGGCACACAGTCTCCATAAGGCCATAGTAGATAGCAAGGGTAAATAATTTACCGACAGAGCTAATTGATCCTCGGGGCGACGCATGCCTAGAACGCTCTATGTTGGATGTCAAACAAGAGTGCCCGACGGGAATAACTAATGGTTATTTCAGCTGACGAAAGGCAAGAGGACGCCTAACAAGCTTATGTCACACCACAAGACTCCCTAGATGCCTATAAATACTCATCGACCACTATGGCAGGAGATAAGTGGAATTCTCTCTCAACGTGATTTCTTCATTCATTCCTTCTCTAACTTAAGCTTCGGAGAAGGTCTCAGGGCACCCCCTGAGGACCTTTCTTGCAATATCTTGGAGACCGCCTACCGGAGTTGTCTTTGTTCTTTCTCACTGATCACCCGGAACATTCTATGTGTAATCATTTTTTGCGCCCACCATGAGACAGAGCAAGACAAAACAATGGAAGGAAACTCTAAGACTTCGGAGAAAGGCATTACCGATCATAGAAATATCAGTAGAATGGATCCCTTGTGTAACATCCCGAACCTTTTCCCGACGAAGATATTGTCCGCTTTGGGCCTCGACCCTCATGGTTTTTGACTTGGGGTGCAATTCAAGATGACTTCCCATAAGGTCACCCATCCTTGTTTTACTCCACTGAGCACGTTTAACTTCGGAGTTCTCACAAGAACTCCTCCATTTCACCCCAAAACGTGTCTTGCCAATTAAGGTCGGTTTCTTACTTATGAACCACGCATGCCCAGAACGCTCTATGTTGGATGTCAAACAAGAGTGCCCGACGGGAATAAGTAATGGTTATTTCAGCTGACGAAAGGCAAGAGGACGCCTAACAAGCTTATGTCACACCACAAGACTCCCTGGATGCCTATAAATACTCATCGACCACTCTGGCAGGAGATAAGTGGAATTCTCTCTCAACGTGATTTCTTCATTCATTCCCTCTCTAACTTAAGCTTCGGTGAAGGTCTCAGGGCACCCCCTGAGGACCTTTCTTGCAATATCTTGGAGACCGCCTACCGGAGTTGTCTTTGTTCTTTCTCACTGATCACCCGGAACATTCTATGTGTAATCATTTTTTGCGCCCACCATGAGACAGAGCAAGACAAAACAATGGAAGGAAACTCTAAGACTTCGGAGAAAGGCATTACCGATCATAGAAATATCAGTAGAATGGATCCCTTGTGTAACATCCCGAACCTTTTCCCGACGAAGATATTGTCCGCTTTGGGCCTCGACCCTCATGGTTTTTGACTTGGGGTGCAATTCAAGATGACTTCCCATAAGGTCACCCATCCTTGTTTTACTCCACTGAGCACGTTTAACTTCGGAGTTCTCACAAGAACTCCTCCATTTCACCCCAAAACGCGTCTTGCCAATTAAGGTCGGTTTCTTACTTATGAACCATGGATCTCTCCCGTGCATTGTCGATGTGGGATTCCCCTAATGTATTACATACACCCCCCTTGGGACTCAATGCCCTCGTTGAGGTTTTCCCCACCATCGTTCAAGAGGGACGCGGAGAGGCTCTGATACCACTTGTAACATCCTGAACCTTTTCCCGATGAAGATGTTGTCCGCTTTGGGCCTTGACCCTCACGGTTTTTGACTTGGGGTGCAATTCAAGGTGACTTCTCATAAGGTCACCCATCCTTGTTGCACTCCACACTGAGCACGTTTAACTTCGGAGTTCTCACAAGAACTCCTCCATTTCACCCAAAAACGCGTCTTGCCAGTTATGGTCGGTTTCTTACTTATGAACCATGGATCTCTCCCATGCTTTTCGATGTGGGATTCGCCTAAGGTGTTACACCTTGGTTGAAGACGAGATGGAATTAGGCAGGTTGTTTGCTTCAAGGATTTGGAAAACGAAGATTTTGGCCAAAACCTGGGTTTTCCAAAACCATAGATATACAATGGATTTTGTCCATTTTGGTTTTGAAAGAAACAATTGTTTGAATGTGGGATTTGATGATGGATTCTTCTCAATTATTTTATATCTGAAAAGGGTTAATTTACCTCACTACCCTTGCTTTAACTCATAAGGTATGAAACCCTTCTCAAGACAATCTAGTTTATCGATTCGTCTCTTCTATCCATCGATCTTTCAGATTCTTCTGACCGAGAGCTACTCTCATCGCTCGGATTTGCATAAGAGATTCTGGTGTTTTGTACTTTGACAGGCTGGTTCTTGTTAGTCTAGTTTGGTACCACCTGCGCTTCTTCTCAACTTGCAGCAAAACTGGCATATGAAGCATTAATCAAGCAAACATACAAACATCCATAAGATTACATTTCATATCCATAAGTTTTCAACCAAACATACAAACCTACTTTACAAAATACACATATTGTAATGACCGGGAAACTTCCAAAAGCAAAAAACTTCGACCTCTTACTATCACTTGTGCATGTTAACTCTTACATGTCAGCTTTGCGTCAGAGATATGAGTTTCCCAACCATTCTACATGCGTTCTTTACAATATAAAAGCACTACATGAGTTCACAACTACTGTCCAGATTACCTACCATTCTATCGTTGTTCGTTACAAAATAACAGCACTACATTAGTTCAAAATTTGCCAACATAGCAAGTTCATAATAAAGTACTTGAGATCCTCCTCATTGTCGAGAGCGTAGAACAATCTTGCCTTGTGATCTCGACCAAGGCCATGGCAGCATCCAGAACCTGGCAACGTTCCAGTCCTTCTATTTTTGTTATCTCATTCATCAATGCAGCTTCCTTTCCGGTATCTTTCTCGGGGTCTTCTAAAATGGTGCCAAGAGTATCAAGTGCCTTGGATATCACAGGCTTCAACCCACACAATTCCTAAGAAACAGCAGCAATGTCGTCATCAGTCTTATTCTTTACCTTCTTAGCCCTTTTCTTCATGGTTGTGTCACTACATCCTTCGCTGGAGGAATCACTGTCGCCATCAGGGACATCTCAATTCCTTCATTGATCATGTCCTCCATGAATCTATAGACACTCGGAGTCTGAATGCCATCCAAGTTCACGAATATTGGTTCATCAATTACAGGCGAGGTAACATCTTCAGTTAGACCAACTGTCCTCCTTCCATTTGCAGTTCCAACCTTCCCAAACACTTTCAACAGTTCATCATAGTATGGAAATGGTTTCGGTTCATATTTTTGCAATTAGGAAACATCTACATTTCCATATACAATAAAACTTGTTGTTGGCAAAAAAAAGCATCAGGTTCATGAAACATTGCAGAAGTAATTACAGCTAGTTACCTTTATCAGAGCATCAAACACGTCATCATCCAGCGTTGGGGTCTTCATTACATCATTCAACCCACAATCACTCTGATTACGAATCAGGTGTACAACATGGAAGTCCTTCTTCAGCTTCTTGTGCCTACTTCGAAGGTGTGGTTCAACCCTCACACCACATCCGGTCTTCCTCTCAAGCATCATGTTCTCTAGCTCAACAAAAGTACCATTCTTGAAAGACCCATTCGCGATTTGATGCCTCTGAACTAAGGGGCTCGTCCCAATGGAACTAAGTGGCTGGAGGTTGAATTTCCCCTTCATTTATCACATGCTTTCTTTTCTTTGCCATCTTGTAGGCGTGACACATTGAAGTAGTACTCCAACACAATAGGGTGACAAAGCATAAATATCCAAAAACATGTATTAAGAAACCAACATATGAAGGAACATCCAGCACTTGTTCATGTTAATTAAAAACCAGCATTGAACGGTTGATTACTGTTTAGCCGAAGCATACATCACTTAACAAAAGCATACATCACATAACAAAAGCAAATCTGACTTAACAAAAAACATAACTGAAGGAACATCCTTTGTTCATATTAATAGAAATGCATCGAACAAGAAAATAGACAACAAATATTATGAAGCCTAAGATAATTCATTGTCGCTCCTTTCTGCCACATCTATACTGCTTTCCCATCCCTAAACTAAGACCAATGTTGTGAAGGATTAACTCCGAATAACGTATCAATTTCTTCCAAAATTGCTAAAGGATGTTGCTTGGGGTCTGTGTCCCTATAATCTCTTTTAATATCTTAATAAATCTGTGCAGCAAGCAACACGCATTTACTAATAAGTTAAAAACCTCGGGGGAGAACCAACTGTGTCTCTTAAAATTGCCCATCGCATTTTCAGAATTCCAAATATCCTCTAAACCACATTTCTTGCAATGGCATGCTTCATGTTGAAGTACTATTCATTTGTTAATGACCTATTACCTCCTCCCCAGACTTTCAATTGATACCTTTGACCCCAGTATGGAGCTAAAAACCCTTCACTGTTGCTATATCCGCCATCTACCAAGTAGTATTTTCCTAGAAAATGAAAAAATTAATGGGTAAGAACTTATGACAGAAAGTAGGATCTGTTTTCAACAACTCTTTGAGTTCATAACTTGTCTATTTACTTTTAAAAGTCATCATTACCTTTCTCAACACGTAGCATATTTGCCCTAGCCAATGCATCTCTAAGAAACTTTCCATCGTGGGTTGTACCCTCCCATCCAGCTAAGCAGTATATAAACTCGAGATTCAAGTTGCACACTCTCATACATTCATTGAAATGTGCCCCTCCCGATCTCGATACCTAGGCCGATCTTTTATCCTAACACGCAGCCTCACATGTGTTCCGTCTAGTGCCCCTAACCAACCCTAAACAACAAAAAATTAATTCTTAATATAGTTATTGTAGCTGACCATACAAGTTAGTTAGAGGAATTTCCAAGAATTTATCACCTTGAAGTGTTTCCATTTAGCATCGGTATAATTTTATGGTATAGCTTATGGTCGTCAGGTAAAAGAGGATGCAATCGAAGGATTGAACGGAGGACCCTATGGATAACATTGGATATTGTTTGCACCGAGTGGCAAAAGTCAACTTGAAGTGTTCGGTTCTTCTTGTTGTGTCTGATAGTAACTAAGAACATCATGACCATCTCATATATAGCTACATTATCAGAATATTTTAACCCCCCTTGGTTGACAAGTAGTTGACACAACTTTCTAAACATTCTACGATCCATCCTTATACTATCAATGCAACAAACATCGGATAGCTCAAGTACCCTTCTCATATAGCGCATTTTGTCATGTTGACTGTCAAATATGTTGTCCAAGGGCATGTTCGGAGGTCTAGACTCTAATCTTTTCCTCATTAATAGTTCAAAAACTCGAATAAGCAAAGATACATAAATAAGCAACAAGGTTAAAACAAATCTCATTGCCTTCACAGTGTTTCGCTTCTGCACCTTATTCGAAATCCTTCTCAATCTAGCAAATAGCCTTTGCATAAAAAATGTACGCACATAATAAGTTTCACACTTCATGATAAAGCACAAAGACCCAACTCAATCAATGCAATTGTAACCCAATTCTGATACCTAAAATAGCACGTTGTGCTTCTGTTTTGTTATGATGTAGTTTCGGATTATAGTTGGTAACACTTTTAATTATATAGAGAATTCACATATACAAACTTTCACCATTTATACTTCGTTTTATATTCAAACATCATTAATCATAAAGAAATAACTTTCCACTCATTTACAGCAAACACAATCAGTAGTGTATCATGGACTTCATGTATACAAACTTTCACCATTCACATACACAATTACTTAGCACCACCTCTGGAGAATGAATAACACAACAGAAGTTGCAAAATCAGAAAGTAAGTAGAAGAAGAAAAACGAAAACGAATCAACTTATGTGTGAGAGAGATCGTGGACAAGATGGAGAATTGAATAATCTGGATAGAGCTTTCATGAATGGGAGGAGTAGAAGATTCAGTGATAGAAATCACAATTACATTGACTCACATAAACCAGAACCAACAAATTCATATTTTTGGTTCCAGGGTTCATCGTAGAAGACATGCACAGTTGAGAAAGAAGGGAGAAAGCCACATACCTTATTGAAACGACGAACTATTACTGAAGATGACGAGGGATTTGGCTAGAATTTTGATGAAGTCGTCTTCTCTCAAAGCGGGGAGCTTCTTCGATCAATCGCCCACAGCAAGCCTTCCTACGTTCCCACTTCCCAGGGATGCACCACTCTCTTTCCTTCGTATTTGGGGGAAATAGATAGAGCAAAGTCCAAAGGCCAATCTTGGCATTTGTAATCAATATGGAGATAGGAAAGTAATTAAACATGATGGACTTCTATCCATCACCAAAAACCCACCTCTGCAGCTTGAGCTTGCAAAATTCGTGGGCCCACAAATTTTGCCCCCAAAAGTGTATGGCCCCCATGGACTTGATCCCCCTAAATCACTCAAGTAAGCAATAGACTTTTTCCTAAGTACATGAAGTGATGGATTCAGAGCCCAAATCCACCACAAACTCCTTAAATGAAACGACCAGAAGCCGCATAAAGAGGCACGAGGAACAAATATCAAACTTACTGATTGATTCATTCCGTACAAATCATTGGCAATAGTTAGAACATTTAAATAACTTTCCCATCCTAGGCCAAGTTTAACGTAGAATGGTGTTGTCATATAGTGGCAATCTAGGCTAGTACCCTAGCCTACTTCCCACGTTGTTGTTATGTAGCCGATCTATCTAAGGGTTTGTGATGGAAGATTCACTCGAAATAACTAATAGAGAGAACAAATAAGGATAAAAGTAGGTACTTTGGGGAACTATCCCTCTCCCTAGCCTTGTTCTACTATGCAATGTATAAATAAGTTAGGTTTAGCGAATGTGGTGAGTGAGCTCTTTTCCATGGGCTTTCGTGGTTTCCCACACGCCTCCGAGTATGACTCCGCTAAACCCCCGTTAGTCACTTCAATCTAGGCTATCGTATCTGGGGCATTAAGAACATATCTCATTCAATGGGTACTACCCACCCTCCACACCGAGGTTTCATCCCGGGTTCTCTCTAGGAAGGCATTCCTATGGTAGGGGTAGAGTCTCCTCGTCCACCATAAGATCTTATCCATTCATCTAACATAATTTTCTTGATGGCGCATACCTGTCTAACGCTAAAACTTCATACCCAACGTAGAAGCTCAAGTAGGTTAGTAGAGAAGATTAGGGTGACTTACCAAAACACAATCAAAGCTAGAAAACATTCAAATCAACTAGATAAACACATTCATTCATTAAAACTCTAAAATATCCATTCATTACATAGTAATGATAAAACTAGGGTTTGGGGTTTAGAACTCTTAGTACCTTAGAAGATTACTCCATAAAGAGGAAAGAGGATAAATCGAAGAAATTGGAGAAGACTTGAAGTTGAGGAAGGTGGCTCCTCTCTTCTAGCTCCTCCTCCTTCTTCTCCTCTTCTCCTTCCTTCAGCTTCTCTCTCTCTAATCAAAAAATTCTATCTCAAAATAAGCTCTATTTAATGGGGGAAGAGGGTCTTCTATTTATAGCCTCCACGAGAAGGGGAAGTTCACGGCCAGGCAGTGTGAAGATCGAGGTCGCGATTTGCCAATGCCGTCGTTTTGGCCTTCAGACGCGAGGGGTTTGCAGGGAGACTTCTCAGTTGCGATCCGTGAAGCGCAACTGCGAACTTACTCGCTACTGGGGTGAACTATGGCCATGATCAGAGTGGGGAAATTCTCTGCTTCTCCTCAGCTGGCTTCTTCATGAAGTTCGCGTCCGAAGCCTCCAGATTTGCAGCCACGATCTTGGGCTCTCAGACCGTTATCTTCACCTTGAATTCGCAGTCTATGTTCTCTATCGTGATCGCCATCTACAGCCCTAATCATCTGCCTTCTGCCCATTTTGTTATACTTGTGTCCCTTTTGTACTTAATTCGCATGTATTGTCTAAAGCCCCCTAAAATCACATAAAATCAAATAGGAACGTAATAGGGATGCAATTGACGCTATTCTAATGATTATGCACCTAAATTAGCATGAAATAAACCTAAACATGAACGGTAAATTATACCAATTTGGATGTTAACAAACTCCCCCACACTTAGGCATTTGCTTGTCACCAAGCAAACCTACTCAAACCAATGCAACTTGATAAACAAATCACGGTGGGGTGCACTCTAGTTCTTCATTTCGTAAATAAGAGTAGACGGAGACGAGAAAACATTACTATCATCTTACTATGCACGCACAAACTCTTGGGTGAGGACCATACTTACTACCTTATGTCGAACATTCAAGGTGTGCATCAGGGGACTTCTCAATCATCAACTAAGCATAGGAACTCTTGAGGTTGCTCTTTATTCTTTCTTTCAATTTAGTAGTTTTCGTTTATTGGTCACCTTTTTATAAGTTAACGTGTATTGCACCAATCGTTTTGATTCTGGTCTAAATGCACACATTTTACCCCTAATTTCTTGATAGTTTGGCTTTGCATTTCACCGTCCCTTGACATATTTGACGCTAGTTTGTTCTTGTTTTGCTATATTTCAGGTCCTAGCACGTGTGGGAAGGTCGAGGACGAGTTTCTAGACGACTGGAGGTCGAAAAGAGAAAAATCGAAGAAAAGTCCAAAGTGACTGTGACAATTGCGTCCGGAGACCATGAAGGGCGGAGGGTCGAGAGCCATTTGCAGTTTCACTGGACTC